CAGGACACAGCCAAATGAAGTTGACAGTACAGATGGAGAGGAGGTCCACATGCTCCTACCCAGGTTGTCTTACTTTTCTAAGAGTTATACAGTCTTTTTTTGATTCATGACTTTACTTAAAGCACAGTAACTCTACATAGCCCAGTTCAACACTGCAACTGGGGGTTAGAAGCACAGTAACTCTACATAGTGCAGTTCAACACTGCAACTGGAGGTTAGAAGGAGGAATTAAGAGAAATACAGGACTAGGGGAACACCCTCCACAGTAAATAGTTGTCTACGTATCAGGTCCTGTAGTTCTGTATAGAGCAGTGGCCAAACCACCCACACAGGACACAGAATGTGGAGAGAGGAGACTTGAGGGTACTGAGACCATGGATAACCCATGGTGAAATGCAATCGCAGCAGCAAAGTCCTAATGGTCCATGAAAGTGAGAAATTTCCAGGGCTGCCCACCCCCACCCTGCCCTGTGTTAGGGACAGGAATGGCTCTCAGGGAGCATATAGCTAAACTGTTCAAAGTTATCAAGGTGCAAGAGACCTGTTGTAAATTATGCTTTGATCCTAAGTAATGAGAAAGAGGTCATAGGCCGTTGTGGTTAAATGAGTATGAATTAATGTCCATCATCTAATGAATAAGAAATAAAATGTCACATATCCCTTCAAAGCAATATATTTCTGAAATAAAAATGAATGGAAATGAAGTATTGATACACACTACAACACAGCGAACCTTGAAAACATTAGAGTAAGTGAAATAAGTTAGCCATTAAGGACCACGTAATGTCTGGTTCAACGTACATGAAATGTCCAGAACCAGCAAATATATTGAGACAGAAAGTAGATTATTGGCTGTAGTGCTGGGTGAGTAAATGGAGGGCAAGAGCAGTGACTGCAGATGGGTACAGGGTTTTTCTCGGGGAGCAGGGAGATCGATAAACATGCTCAAGTTGTTTGTGAAGATAAACTGGTATATTTATTATGTACTCTAAATGTACTAAAAAATCATTAATTTGTATACTTTAAAAAGGTGAACTGCATAAGAGAAAAAATTCGATTCAAGTTGGGGGAGGAGGATTGACGTGCTCCCAGTTAATGGGCACGATGTAAGGATATACGGTGCCGGGTCCAACTACAAGAGGGACTCTAACAGCTACAAACACTGTAACCTAGTTGTTTGCACCTTCAAATGAACCTGAAATAAAAACAAAGATGAACTGTACAGAACATACATTACATCACAGTAGAGCTGTTCTTTGCTTTTGTAATAAGTACATGGAGTTATGCCATGGCTCTGCCTCTTAGAAAATCTAGATGATTGGGAAGTTACCACCTTTTCCAAACCTCGGTTATTTGAAATCAGATAGCAACAGCACCCCTACTTCATAATCTTGAAGACTACTATAATTAATATACATGCAAAGTTCTTAAGACATCATCTCCTACAATAAACATAAGCTGTTACTTCGGCTGAACAAAACAGCTTCTTATGGATGGCTCCACTATAATACTTAACGTACTGTGTCAACAAAAGGGTACTTCATTCTGTGAAATTTCATTCACATGTTTATTCAAAATATAAGGTGCTTGGGCATTGATAGGTACAAATAAAACTCTGGGTGAACTCCAAGCTCATGAAGAGGTATCCCAATGTATCATGACACGCTCTTCCTTCCAGGAAAAATGACCAGTATCGCCTGAGCATCTTTACTGAAAAGAGATGGAAGAAATGGTGGGCTCTTGGTCTTGTGCACTTCCAATGAGAAAATAAATGAAAGTGAAGGAATCTAGGTAGAGGGAGAACTTACTCATCAATTTCTGGCCCACAGTTTTCCAGCAGGAGAATCAATCTGAGAAAACTCACATCGCATTTCAAAAGTACTATAACAACAATGTTAGTTAATGTATGCGAATTTGCTCACACTCACATTTCCCCACAACATATATAGTTATTTTAAATTACATAACCAACTTACATCCAAAAAATTCATAGTTTTATAGAGTCAACTCTAGTAGCACCTTATTTCACCTTATCTACCCCATAAAATTTTGTCACAAAGAAAACTATAACTAGGAATGTGTTCACTTTCAGTTTAGATGAAATAATATATATATATTATATGCACAGATGTATATAATATATGTGTGTAAATACACACACACACACTAGTATGATTAATAATTAATCCCTCCAGGTCTATCTCTCTCATCGATCATAGACTGTATCCTTGAAGTTCTTGGTGTTTTATTTCAACTAGACTTCTAATCTGTAGAAACTAGAAGTGACTTTTTTAATTTCGTCATTATCATATTGCTTAGAGGTTTTTTTATTTTTGTTTTTAATTTAATTTTTTATAGTTTGGGATTCACTGAGGGCACAAAGAATTAATTAGGTTACACTGATTTCGTTCGTTAAAGTCCCTCCTGTACTCGTGTCCTGCCCCCAAGAGGTGTGCCATACACCGTGACCCCCATCCCCCTCCCATCTCCCCTCTCCCTGCTACCTCATTCCCTACCCCACCTTATGTTAGCTCATCTACTGCCTTCATATTAGAATTGAGTACACTGGATTCTTGCTTCTCCATTCTTGTGATGCTCTACTAAGAAGAATGTGTTCCTCTTCCATCCACGTTAATACAAAACATGTAAAGTCTCCATCGTTTTTAGTGGCTGAATAGTATTCCATGGTATCCATATACCATAGCTTGTGAAGCCGTTCCTGGGTTGGTGGGCATTTAGGCTGTTTCCACATTTTGGCAATTATAAACTGAGCTGCAGTAAATAGTCTAGTGCAAATGTCCTTATGATAAAAGGATATTTTTCCTTCTAGGTAGATGCCCAGTAATGGGAATACAGTATCAAACAGAGGTCTGCTTTGGGTTCTTTGAGAATTCTCTATACTTCCTTCCTAAGAGGTTGTATTAGTTTGCAGTCCCACCAGCAATGTAAAAGTGTTTCCTTCTTTCCACAATTGCTTAGGGTTTATTTTTTTTTTAAGACAGCTGAAGCCAATCTGAATACCTTATGGTGGCTTAAAGCATACATCCAATGAAGTGTTTGTGTGTGTCCAAAGCTTACTGCAGCCTGGAATCAGATAGGAGTCCTCTACTAAAGTACACATCTGAGTCAAACTCAGACTCCACACTACTGTTCAGACAACTCTGTATCATTCCCTAAATGACTTGCCTCTATGTGCTGGGATTATGATTTCTGCTCAAGGCTGATAATCAAATTTCTTATAAATCAAAAGGAATAAAACATAAGGTGAAGCTGTTAAAAACCAGCTATCAACAAAAAAGGTCAGGGCCTCCAACATGAAAAGGAAAAAAAATATATTCTTCGGTCTGGGAAAAGATTAGTTCTTGACATACAGCAGAACCATTTACAGCCACAATTTTTTTTTTAAACTAATAGTAAAGCATATTACAAGCTTCCTTAATTCAATTTTCTCTGGCATTTACTGTGTTTAATAAAATACCTAAATGTCAACCAGATTTATAAAAATGTATTCACAGCTTAATGAATGGCGAAAGCAGATTACATGAACAGTAATAATGAAGACCATCATAATCTAAATTGATATGGAATTTTGTTTTCCTCCCCATTACAGAAGTAATTAATGTTTACTTACGAAGTTTTTCATTCTATCATAACAGATCAAAAATTGTATGTGCAATGTGTTTGAGATTTCACCATTTCTATCATATAGGTTAATGTTCAGTATCAGAACATTTGGTCTATTTAAATATTTCAGTATGCAATGGATTCAAAGAAAGGTCAAGGATATAGCAATGACACCTCAGTACAAATCCAGATTTAAGGAATAATAACAATTGTTGAAAATAATCACCTACGAAGTTGTCCCTTCCTGCAGGTGAGTCGAGTTCCTATTTGAAACCACCAATTGGCAACCACCATGCTACTTTCCAGGTTTCTCTGATAAAAGATTTTATCACCAAGAAGGCAGGCTCATTGACTAAATAGACTCATCCTTCTCTTAAGCTATATGGAAGGTGTAAGGACTCTTAAATGAGATGTTAAATTCCACTAGTTAGGTTTAAAACTCACATTCACTTGAGACTATAATTTTCAAGGTCTCTAGTTTTACAGAAGAAGTATTCCTTAAGATAAAAAAAAAATGTAAAGCTTCCCAAACAATCCTCCCCTCTACTTTGAGAGCATTACACAAACCAATCTGCCCCGAATTTCTACGACCTTTTGCAAACATATTTACTAAATCACCAGCTGAAATAATTAAGAAAAGCTTTTTGAAATTTAACACATGTGGGGATCTTTTATACAAAATTATCTAAATCATAAAAATAGTTATTTAACCTACTGGGTCTAAAATTCCAGTTCAAAGTTTCTCACTGATACAAACTCTACTCTAATTGTAGAGGCTATAAATAATCCATCTCAAGGAAGCCTATCACAATAAAATAATTGTAACCCAAATTTTGCAGATCAGTTTGTGATCTTTATTTGAAAAGCCTGAACTAGACCATAATCTGTTATGGAACCTACACTCTCTGGTTTATTTCAAGTATTCATTAACAGAACACTAAAAAAAAATCCCCCCCAAAACAATGTGATCAATATATATATTTACATGTATGAAATTAAGATAAATATATATATTTTAAACATGGCATATTCTATTTATATTTAAATTTGAGCACAATTTATGTAAATATATTTGCCATGTATGCTTTAGGAAAAGATTCTAAAGTTATTTTCTGTAGAATTATTATATGAGATCCTTTGAGAGATTCCTATTAAACAAAACTTATGCAACTTATTTTCAGGATAATATAACCAAAGTAAAAATCACAGAAATGATTTCATAAAGTAAATACATTTTTTAAAAATGCAAATTTTGTGAAAAGTTGTTTTGTCTGTACATATTATCGCTTTACATATACCACTCTATAAATTAACTGCTGCTTCTGATAATTCTGAATCTCAAACCTAAAAGAAACAAACTTAACAGATTAAACATAGTGTTCCCCTCAGCAGCACATATACTAAAATGGTTAAAATACAGAGAAGATCAGCATGGCCCCTGTGCAAGGATGACACGCAAATTCATGGAGCGTTCCATATTTTTATTGAAGAATATTCTTCTTAGTAAAGTACCATAAAAATGGAAACGCAAGTATGCAATGTACTCAATACTAATGTGAGACCAATAGATAAGCAACCACCATGCCCACAAGGGAAAAAAACACAATTAAATGCAAGTGGTGGAGGGAAAGGGAGGGAGCAGAGGGAGCAGGATTGGTAAATTCTTACCTGAAGGGCACAATGTAAGGGTGTACACCACAACTCCCTGGGGCAGGGGCGCAACTACAACTTGAACTTTACCTAACAAATGCAAACAATGTCACCTAATCATTTGTACCTTCATATTCATCTGAAATTTTAAAGACTTTAAACATAAATAAAACTGGCCAGGCGTGGAGGCTCCCACCTGTAATCCTAGCACTCTGGGAAGCAGAGGTGGGTGGACTGCTTGAGCTCACGAGTTGAGACCAGCCTGAGAAAAAGCCAAACTCTGCTTCTACTAAAAATAGAAAAACTGAGGCAAGAGGATCACCTGAGCCCAAGAGCTGGAGGTTGCTGTGAGCTATGACGCCACAGCACTCTACCCAGGGTGACAGCTTAAGACTCTGTCTCCAAAAATAAATAAAAATTAAAATTAAATTAAAGCTTCAGATTGTGGCATGAAAAAAATATAAAATATTTAGAGAAAAGTCTTCAGTGTGTATGTTTTCTGAACTTCCAGTAAAACAAGAAATTTATTTGACAGAAATATTCCCCAAATGTTGCAAGTCTTGTCCAATAATCCAAGTATTATAATGTGTTTTATTAATCTTCTTTAAGTTTATGGACAAGATTTTAATGCTGGATGAATCTTCTTACCATAAGTCTGTTCTACAGCTCAATGAAGTACGTAGCTTTCCAGTCCACTTTTAATTTCATTTGCTGTTAGCATAGTTACTTATCTACGTAGAAGTCAGAATTCTGTTCATTCTGAACCCCTGGAGCAATAGTAGAGATTAGAAGTTAAAAACCACCTCTGACCAGTAAAAAATGGCAAAAATAGTAGTAGAATGACTCTCACAGATGTGGAAAGTGACTCTGAAGTAATGGCTTAAAAGAAAGAACAGCACTTTACCTAAATTTTGTGGGCAAGAAATTTTAATCTCTAATAATTTAAATAAAAAGTCCCATGTACCAAATGCCTCACATATTGCAAAGTGTTCTCACATGTGCTCATTTATTTACTGCACACAACAACTACCACGCTCCTAAAGGTAACGGGTAAGTGTTTATATTAACATTCATTCCATCTTAGAAAAGGTCCTCATGTTCAATCTAAGGACACATGTGCCATTCTGTTGCTGTCACTCATGGTCTTTAATAATATTCATTAGGTGGAACCTGGGGAATATACTTTCATACATAATATTGCATTATTTAGATTAGGTTTAGCTATATGATTTTTCCTGTACAGATGAGGCATTAGGTCTTTGATGTGAATATTAAAAAATGTGACATTCAGGGCGGTGTCTGTGGCTCAAAAGAGTAGGGTGCCGGCCCCATATACCAGAGGTGGCAGGTTCAAACCCAGCCGGCCCCAAACTGGAAAAAAACAAAAGTGAAATTCATTCTCTATTAATTTTTATGAGAGAAAAGGAGAGATATATGGACAGAGACACAGACAAAGGGAGAGAAGTGGAGGGAGGGAAGAATAACATTTTTAAATTTCATTTATTTCAGTGGCATTTTGACACCAAATGCAACTGGGAAACTATTTTCTGAAAATGCAAGGTTAATTAGATTATTATTAAATTGGGCAATAGATGAGGTACTATGTGTTAAAAAATTAATATATTAACTCTGAGTAATTATGAGAACAAGAGGCAAGTTTGAAAATAAGCGTGTTAGGTTTCAAAAAAAGGTTGGGATTAGAATTTCATATAACTGACAGAATGGCAACTTCCTTGACAAAGGAATTTTATATATGATTATATATATAATAAAATGTTTATCATAATTTATAATAATATAAAATAATATTATATTTCTTTAAAACATAAAAGGAATATATATTTAAAGACCATTTGTTACTAACTACATTCTCTTATAAGGATCATTTAAATGCCTTCACTTAACCACTTAATTGTTCTTTCAACCAATATCTATCTATCTATTTATTTATTTATTATTTATTTATTTATTTTTGCAGTTTTGGCCAGGGCTGGGCTTGAACCTGCCACCCCCGGTATATGGGGCCAGTGCCCTACTCTTTGAGGCACAGGCACCACCCAAGCAATATCTATTTAGTATTCACTTTGTGCCAAGCACTCTTCTCGCTGCTAAGTACTCATCACTCAAAGTAATAGTCAAAAAAACCCTGGTCTCATGAGGTTTTACTGTAGGTATTCAGAAAATAAAAATAACAAGTAATATGTAGTATTTTGTAAGTAAAAAATGCCTTGAGGACTGAATGAGCAGGGTCAAATCAGACATAAGTGCAAGGGAGTTACAATTTTATAGAGGCGGGTCAGGGTAGGCAGCACTTAGAAGATGGCATATAGTTTGTGTCTTTATTTCACTGCTTGCACACAATAGTCTCCTAACAGTCTTTAAACATTCTGTAATTTTACAAGTAATTGTTAAAGCATCAGAATGTTTGACATCAGCAGTATTCAATAATAGAATGTATACAGATACGATTTTCTTCTAATGGAAATTTAAAATTAAAACCAAGTATGTTCTGCAATCTTTAGAAATAAATTATAAAGCATCCTATGTCTAGGAATTTTCTTTTGTTTTTGTTTAGTTTGTTTGAGACAGAGTCTCCCTCTGTCACTCCGGTAGAATGCAGTGGCATCATCGTAGCTAACTGCAATCTCAAACTCCTGAGTTCAGGTAATCCTCCTGCCTCAGCCTCCCAAGGAGCTGAGACTGCCAGTGCATGCCATAATTCCTGATTGATTTTTCTATTTTTAGTAGAGACAGAGTTTTGTTCTTGCTCAGGCTGGTCTTGAAATCCTGAGCTCAAGCAATCCTCCCACCTTGGCCTCCCATGGTGCTAGGATTAGAGGTGTGAGCCACTGTGCCCAGCCCTATGTGTTTTAACAGTTGCAAATAATGTAAGTTATTTGATACCTCACAACCAAAACTGGAAAAATTTCACCAATGAATTGTTGGAAAACCTTACGGATATCATTTAAAGCACATAAACTTAGTTTATATTGCAATAAAAATCTACATTTTGACAACAGCATTGTTAGACAGAATTCTGTGAATTTCCCTATGCATTAAAAAATAAAAATGCCTAAATGAAAAGCTTAACGACTTTAAAAAAATTCTACCATTCCTCTATCCAAACTTCCATATCACTCATTTTGCTTTGAAAGAAAGCATAGGCAACGTAGTTTAAATAAACTCAAGAGAACCTTTAGCATACTAAATAAAAGATTCTCCTAAAAATTCTGAAAGGTTAGTTCTTCCTCATGGCCCTCAGATCTTATTTTCCAGCTCATTGGAATTACAGGATTTTGCGTTTTATTTTTGGAACAAAGGTGATAACATAAACTAAACAAACTTCTGTCTGCCTGGACTCCCTGTCACTGTATAGATCATTTTAATTTTCTTCTATCTTCTTGTTCCATAAAAATCTTAAAGCTCCTGTTGCACTTTCTTTTTGACTACATTTCTCATGGTAGGTTGGCAACATTTGCATCGATGCTCCCTGAGACAAATCATTCTTCCCAGGCAAGACCATTTACGGTTGCTCTTCTGTTTTTAGTCTTCAAATATTTATCACGTTTAAATAACAGTAAATCACAGTGGCATTAGCATTTTCTTCTGAAAAAGTTTTAATGTTCTTTAACAACTTTCACAGAAAGAACGAGAGATAGCCTATTCTTTTTTTTTTCAGTTATACATCTTATTCTTTAATAGGTACAATACTAAGATAAACACAAATTTTTAAAAAGTTTTGTTAAAACAAAACTGTACAAAAAGCAGTCTACTACATTTTTTTTTAATTGCTGGGGATTCATCGAGGGTACAAGAAACGAGGTTACACTGATTGCATTTGTTAGGTATAGTCCCCCTTACAATTGGGCCTTGCCCCCAAAGGTGTATCACACACCAAGTCCCCATCCCCATCCCCATCTCCTCCTTCCTTCCCTCTCTCCGCTTTTCCTTTCCACCACCCCTCTCTTCCTTCTCTCTCTCTCTGCTTTCCCCTTTCCCTACCCCCCCATGTCATTAATTGTCATTAATTACAGAACAGTCTACTGTCCAAGAGGCACTAATCCTGAGTAAGAGATACAATAATACAGGACTCATTTGAACTATTTTAATCAATACAATAGAGCATTTATTTCTTCGACCATTTGCATCTAGAAACAAGTGCTTTTTGCTACAGTCGTTATACCTTGTTATAAATATGAGTCCTACAAAGGAAGGTACAGGATCCCTCATCTTAGAGAAGCTTCCCTATTCTTAACAAATACTTGAATAATGTTTTCAGAAAGGAAAACTTTCAGTGGTATAATAAACTATGAGGTCATATTTCTTGTCCCCTGACTTTGCAAAGTAACTTTGCAACGCTTCACACCAGGGATGTTGTCTGTTTGGACCTTGAGTATGGGCTGTCCTCATGAATCGTATCGGGCAATAGAATGTGGTAGAAGCGACACTGCATGGGATTAAAGGCAGGTTCTAAAGATGCCTCACTTTTCTGTTTTCTTCCTCTCTTTAGAGTCCTGCCAGGCCAGCACGGGTGCAAGCCAGCTAAGCTGGAAGGCTGACGAGAGACCCATGACCTAGATGTTTCCACTAACTAAAGCAGATCAACTCCAAGAAACAGAGCTCACCACTCTGCATTCAAGAAGAACTCAGTTGAGCACAACCAAAATTACTGACACCCCAGAATTGTAAGCTAAATGAGTACTCATCATTTTAGGCCACTAAGTTTGGGGGTTTGTGAGACAGTAATAGGTAACTGACAAACTCAGGACAAGTACAGATTAGACTTTTACTGACTGTTTTGGTAAATCAGATTATCAGTTTAAAATTAATATC